TCGGATTAACCGGAGTGACGGACTAGCCGAGGGCGGACTAGAGGGGTTCTACTGTAGTTTCCGGGACATTAGTAGCGATAAAATGCCGTATTTCGTTACAAAAAGAAATTCAATGGCAACTGATGTATTAAAATTTATTGGCTCGAGTGCTTTTAAAATTTGGAGGACCTAAAAACGCGATATATTCGAATCCGCGATAAAACTAGGGGTATATACTGTATTTTAAAACTGTCTGTTATCTACCTATTACTTTCCCGGCTGTTATAAAAGAGGAAAAGTATGGCCATCGGTCAAAAATGGCCCCCAAGATTTTTACATTTTTGGACTTAGAAAACCTTGAAATGCAAAACCAGGGCCCATCAGTGGCCAAACGCTTCCGTTCTCCGAAGACTGGGAGTTTGGTCGTGGGTTGGCGCCTGGCCGGACGGGCTGGCCACGTGGAGTTTTCCGGGTTTTCTCCACGTCTGTGACGCTTGAATACGGACCAGTCATTTCAAGGTGTTCTAAGTCCAAAAATGTAAAAATCTTGGGGGTAATTTTTGACCGATGGCCATACTTTTCCTCTTTTATAACAGCCGGGAAAGTAATAGGTAGATAACAGACAGTTTTAAAATACAGTATATACCCCTAGTTTTATCGCGGATTCGAATATATCGCGTTTTTAGGTCCTCCAAATTTTAAAAGCACTCGAGCCAATAAATTTTAATACATCAGTTGCCATTGAATTTCTTTTTGTAACGAAATACGGCATTTTATCGCTACTAATGTCCCGGAAACTACAGTAGAACCCCTCTAGTCCGCCCTCGGCTAGTCCGTCACTCCGGTTAATCCGACCGTGGTCGGAGTCGAGAAACTTGTCCCAACTCGTCAGTGACTCACTGTCCGTGGTGTTATTCTGTATTCTTTACAGTATATGTTTTATATTGTGTGTATGTGTACAGTTTTGTGTGTGTTTTCAACATGTCAGGAGTGAAACGTAAACACGTTATTCTTTCATTAAATGAAAAATTAGCAGTACTACAAAGAATGGACAAAGGGAAGATTGTTTATTTTACATTTTTCTGATAATCCGACCTTTTCTGCGTTCCGACCATACCCCCAGTCCCAAAGGTGACGGATTAGAGGGGTTCTACTGTACACTACAGGCGAAACAATAAATTCTTCAATGTGTAAATAAAGAAAACAGGTGGTCAGATAAATTATCATTTATGTTTCCTTTTGATATTAAAAGTTGTTTGTTTATTGGTTTTAGGCGCTGTTTCCTCGTTTACAGTGTTTAGGGTACCAAGACCGCTCGGCCACTGGTGAGCCCCTTACCGCGTAGAAAGAAGCTCGTGTTTGGCTAAAATCTGGTGGATATCGGTTACTTGCCAGCAGCATCCGATGACGCAGTTGGCTTAATTCCAGCACATACTGTATTTCTAGGGTTTGGTTTTATTCGATTACGGCAATGCGACACTTGGGCGATATGCCGAGGGGGAATGACTTCCGGGAGGTCTTTTATGGAAAACGGGTCCTTATTTTGGCGTTACACACTTGAAAAAAAACGCGGATTACTCTACGTAGCCAGCCCGTTGGCCAGGCCCAAACTCGCGACTAACTACCCCTGTTCTTTGGTTTTATCCACTCCGCGACTGTGGGAACATTTCAATTTTGATCCCGTTATGTAACAATACGGACCGTAATTATTTTTAATCACGAGAGCTACAGTATTTGCGTTTGCACTTGGATCGCGGCGGAGAACCGGCTGCAATGTCTTTGTCGTGGATACAAGGACATTTCCTGATGTTTTTAAGAAATCTTTCAGAGTATATTGTAGGCTGTTTTCCAGTAGTTATCCTAAGGTTAAAACTAATGAACAAACTTCGTAAGCATGAAAACGGTCAGAGCGAGAGATAGAATACAGCGAACGGCATAACAGCTGCTTTCTCGCAATTTCGGCACCGGGCCACGATGACGGGAAGTCCACTAACCGATCGGTTGATGGCACCGTCTGGCGGTCGTATTGGTGTCGGAAGTCGAACACTGCTGGATGGGCTTTACGTTCGTTCCACGCCCTGCTCCGGCGTAAAATATCGTGGTCACGCGATTAAAGACAATTACTGCCAGGGTTTTTACGCTACTGAAGTCTCGGCCTAAGAGGAAAGTAACTGATTTATTATTCGTCAGTAAGCTATCGATGCTTTCGCAAATATCACTGGACAGCATAAAACGGACTAAAAAGTCAAAATAATCATGTCTAGAGAGTAAAACTAAAATGGGCATAGCCACCTGTTATCAGATTTTACTTGCGAATTTCAATTGTTGGCTAATCTAAATATATATAACTCAAAGGTGACTGACATAGTGATCTATCAACGCACAGCCCAAACCACTGGACGGATCGGGCTGAAATTTGGCATGCAGGTAGATGTAATGACGTAAGCATCCACTAAGAAAGGATTTTGATCAATTCTACCCCCAAGGGGATAAAATAGGGGATGAAAGTTTGTATGAAACTTTGTCAATTTTAAACCGATCGGGCTGAGACTTTGCATGCATAAAGCTACTATGACGTAGGCATCCCCTAAGAAAGGATTTTGATAAATTCCACCCCTAAGGGGATAAAATAGGGGATGAAAGTTTGTATAAATCTTCTTAGATTTTCGACTGATTGAACTGAAATTAAAGATTGGA